CAGAAGCCCAAACCCGTACTACACGGTTGCTCGTTATACTTGTATCTTGTTATCGTGTCACCGGTTTCACCATGGTTTATGTAATTTTCCATGTACCTGGTGAAACATTAATTTCCGACGATGATTAATTTACGAGAAACACGTATCCCTTGTTAAACTCCACCAGTTTGTAGTTGAATTACAAAAATCTAACTGTTAATTATTCGCAATTTTGACACAAGGTTTGTTCGACTGGAAATCGTCAAATCTAACTATACTTTCAACTACGAATGTTCGGTATTCAACGTGAAATATTGTAAAACTTTACAGTTTTTTTTCTGCAAACGCACAAAGGTCTTTGTATCAGTAAAGCGAGGGCACATGAATCGATTATAATCTCGAAAACGCTATTAGTCATTTTTTTGTTCTAGCCTGAAAGATCAGTGAAAAGGAAGCTTATGCACGATAAATGAGTTATTCCAAAAGAATACATTCCTGCGGACCGTTTATGTATTAAACTCGTCGAAACAATTTGATATTTTCCGTCCAGCTTTTCACCAACAGTATTTTTCCTTTTTTCACGCTGCATTGTTGTTTGGTGGCTGCTGTGCATTTCATTTTAATTATTGAAAATTTCAAACAACTCCATCGAAAGTCATAACGTTCTATCAAAAGTTTATCAATTAAAACAGATTGAACATTCTTTTAATTCACTGCAACGGACTATTTTTCGAAATTTCTCTGCGTGTATAATCGTCGGTTGGAGTTTCAAACGAGTATCATTTGAGGAGGAAAGAAAAGCGTGGAAGAGGGGTACGAGGGATAAGATTAACCGCAGGCCAGACGATACCGCTCGCCCCGTTAACCGGAAGCAATTACCCGGCAAGTCCCGGGGCTTTTTTTTTCGAGGGTACAAGAGAGGGGAAGGGAAAAAAGCACCGATAAACGGTCTCGAAGTTGCTAGCTTTAACTGTTGTACCCGAGTCCGCGGAATGAGGTAGCCAAAGAAGAGAGAGAAAAATCGTAGAAGCACCCTCGAAACTCGAGCGAACCGTAAACAATACTACTTTCAGATAACGTTGGCCTTTATTGCAAGCGTTGCCAACCCAACGACGCGAATCTGCAGTTTAGCATTATCGTTTCGAGCTCGACGAGAGGAGCAACGATCGATACGCTCCACCTATTCTCGTGTTTTCGAGACACGATTTTGCGACTTCATCCCTCGTCGAGTTTCTGCTGCTGTTGGAATTTTCGTGCGCGCGTTTCAAACGACAGGGAGGAGCGAACTGGAATGAGAATTTCCCGAGGATGAGGTTCTACTTGTACGAGGAGTGATACAGTCTCGTTCTCGTGTTCCATAGAGCTTTTATATATGTTCAGCGTGGTTTATGATGCTTAGGATTTTCTATTCTGAAAAATTTCGGATCATTTTATAAGAAATTGGAAATAGAAATGTGGAGAATTGTCGAAGAGTTGTTTTCTTAAAGAAAAATCGAACCGTCTCTGAAACTATTGACCTATACTACTAGTTTCAGACCACCGAGCGAAGCGTCCGAAGTGAAATCGGTGAAGGATAAAAAGTACGAAGTTTCGCGATTTCTAGCAGGAAAAATTCTTTGTCTTTCAACGGTATACAGACAAAAATAACGCGGGTTAACCGATGCCTGGCTGCGACTTCAATTTCGCACGTGTTCTCGAAAAACGGAGAGTCGTTGTTCAGGAACGTGTTACGAATCCATAACAAGCGGACACGTGTCGCAGATTCTGTTGGTTCGAGAGGACCGCGGAACGAGACATGAATTCTCAGTTTGTTACGATCGTTCGGACGAGCTTTACTCGCTCTCTGACTAATCGACGCTTTAAAATTCCACCACTTCTGCCTGCCTTCTCGAAACGATGATGTCACGATCCTAATGGAAACGGTAGAAAGACGCATGAATGCCAATGCGAAAGCGTCACGATCGTTTCGAAGCTCTAAACGAGAAAATTTCCTATAAGCGATCGATCAAATTGCGTGCTGTTTGAATTTCCTTTTCACTCTTGTCTGAGAAAATGAAGTTACTCGTGGGATGACCCAATACCTCTGGCATGGTTCTCAGAATTGTTTCACGACACGTGAAATAAAGGATGCGTGCAGAGATACGTGTTCGAAATTCGTACAGGTTTCTGCACTTGGCATAGAAAACAAACGGAATTTTCACGCAACAATCGCATGAGTCAAACTTGGCTCGCGTGTTGCTTTGCTCGAACGACAAAGTTTACGCGTTCGTTTCGCTACAGTCTCAGAATTATTTCGGTAGAGTCGGACAAATCTGGACGTAATTGCTTCACTCTGAATCGTTTGCTTCTGTCAAATTGCGTTTCAAGACATTGAACTCGAATGATTCCTAACTAGAAATAGGTCAATTTCTAAGTATGATTTGAGATTTCAAATGACGAAAGAAAATAGTCATCAAGAATTTCATTTCGAACGTAAATGTAAATATACTGAAAACGATATTTTTATAATAATTTGTGGCTCGTAGAATACAATACATGTAGAAAGATGAACGTATTTAAATTTATCTTGTTGTACATTAGAAATTTGAACTGCAATAGCTTATATAAGTAGAGTAACTTGGCGCAATGCTTCTTTTAGAAAGAGCTATACATCAAAATAAAACCAAGTATACTTTAATTATAATGATAATCGACTTGGTAGTAATGAACTTTTTCTTCACTGCAAAGAAGATTATAGATAATAATTGATCTATCGGCTGATCAAGTGGATTGTTAAAGAAAGAACAGAGAAAATATCTAAAATGAAATCTAACATTATTGGATTAATTGAGAAGTATCATTCGGTAGAAATATCGAAGAAAATGAATCCAATATCTTTATGATCTTTTCCACTGAGGGAACTAAAAGAAGCTTCTGTAGAAGCATTGCCTTATCGATTCTGTCTTGAATAACCCATTAATTATTCTTATATTGTAAAGATAAAAGGATTGTAGATAAAATTTTCATTCGATGATAAAAATATTACTTTTTCCCTTTTCTGCTAGATATAAAATGAAAAAATATGAGTTTCAAGTATCATAGCTCTATGTTTCTCGTTTATACAGTGTATAATACTAATTATTACCGTGATTAGTGTAATGTATAAACTAAAGGGTTAACAATAGTGATCAGCTCGAATTCTGTGTGACAAGGAATCTGGGCTAATAAGAAACGCTCGTCGAGAGAAGATCGTCACGCAATACGTCCGAACGTTTCTTAATCTATTTCGAGCCGCGGTGAGTTTCTAACTTCTAACAGTCTTTCTCGAGCGTGCTGACTATGCGGAACCACGCTGCTCTCGCTCGCGGGTATCGTATCCGAAGAACTCGAATCTCTTCTGTCACGGCACCCGATCGAATTTAAAACAGCATCGTTCTGTAAATTTTACTCGCCAACGATGGGGTGTTCTGTTATTTTAAAGAGAAGTGTTTGAGAAGGCGAGAGGACATTTCGAAAGGATTCTTTTCAACAAGGTGAGAGGATACCTTGCCTCATAGTGAAACTGTTATGCTATTTTTAAATAATGCAATACATATTGTAATATTTCGTCGAAAAATTCGCTAACAGGAAAAGCAATTTGATCGAATAAATTTAGCTCGACTTTCACGAGTTCGCTTTGAAAGGTTGAAATCTTTTCCTGAAAGCTGTCAGCTCGCACGACCTTCGTCGTTCTAACGTTGTTGTCGACGTTATTAGTAACGTCGACAACCAGTTCCATTGGCTCGTTTCCAAGGAAGTAGGAGGAAAATCCGACGGGGGCGAATACGGAAACGCAATCCGCGTGAGCCGACGAAAATCTTGTTTCGCCTGGTGATCCATCAGCGAATCCAGATTTCCATGGATGACTTCATTTGCGTCTTCTACGACAAAACACGTTTCGACTTTCCTTCGCCTACATTTCTTAATACGTTCACTGTCAATGTAGAAATTCCTCGAATAACTTTATTCTCCTCTTCGCGAATACGCGCTTCGATTTTGCTTCGTCTACTTTGCGAATGAGTTCACTGTCGGCGCAGGAATCTCGCGAAAGACTTAATTTTCGTCTTCTGGAATGCAACATGGCCAGACTTCGTTTCGCGTAAATTCTCAGTGCGTTGATTGTCAGAGGGAAATTTCACCAGAGGCGGTAATTTTCGTCTCCTTGAATGCGGCATCCTTAGGCTTTGTTTCGTCGAAGTTATTAATACGTTGACTGTCGGGGCAGTAATTTCATTTTATCGAATGCGACGCAATTAAATCAAAACTTTGCTCAAGAAAATTGAGCAAAATGTTTCGAGTATATTTATTTTTCAATTTAAGGGAAGCGAGGATTGATCGTTGTCGGATGCGGAGCATGATCTCGTTCCTTTTAATTATCTCCAATAGGTTGTCACTCGTTGGGGTTGGAATTGGAAGCTTGAGTAATTTGGGCCGAGTTCGATGTAATTTAGGTGTTTCATTTATCACTTGAGAGACTGTCGGTGCTGAAAGTTGGAACGAACAGAAGAAACTGTCGTTTCTTGTTTGATCGAAAAAATTTTGATTGATAGCTTGATTTTGCACTCGAGGAACTTTGATTCTTACCATGATTGATTTACGTAGATCGATCTTTAGTTACATTAAACTGTGGCTAAACGTTAAAATCTTCAGTTTCATTTTTATTTTATTAAATTTCATTAATTTAATAAATACTCGACGAATAAGTTAGGAATGATAATTTCATTAACTAACTAAAGAAACTGTTCAATGTCGAACGATCACCCTAAACTTTGAACTTTGAACGTATTTCTCCCTGTAACGACAAAAAGCTCCACCCTTGGCTTATCGAAATATTACCACGTTGGTTCCATGAATTTCAGCGAAATAAATAAATCGAAGGACCAGTGAGAACTGTTAGTGATCGTTTGAAAAGTGAAACGAAGAAATCGGTAACCGCTCGCACAAACTCTGATCCTTCTGTCCGCCCGCTCTGAAGGTCTGGCATTTTTTTTTTTCTGTTGCAGAGCCGAAGAAGGAAAAGACTGAACAGAGTGCAAATGGCGCGGTATCGCCGAGCGGTGATCCGCAAGCGAATCAGGGCACGGCTACGACCGGTAGCGTGCCGGTCTCGGCCGCAGCCCCGAATTCGGGGGACCAGCAAAAGCCGAGTAGGCCGAATACCCTGGAAGCCAGGGTGGTAGCCAGGAGACTGATCTTGTTCGACAGTGAGTACAGTTATCTAAGAGATGGAAAATCATTTAATCCAACTCTTTGTGGTTGCTTTGAGCTTCGATATACCTATATCATTGTCAGGTGGAGGAAAATAGATTGAACGGATCATGAAATTAATTGAATCCTTGGAAATGGTTGATGGAAATGTTAGACTAGGGGTGGAAGGTTTTGTATTGTAAGGGTGAACATATTACTCTATTGTATTCGTCAAATTGTTAGGAGATGAAAGGATACAGATTGATGAGAGAGAATTGCGCGAAACATTTCATTTCATTGTATTCGTCAATTGTTATTTATACGTTTTAATTAACGTTTGTAATATTATTTAACGTGCAGTTTTCAGATGATTAAATATAATTGATATTATGAATTTTATTACTTTTCACGTTTTCATTGTTTTTTGTGTTTTGTATTCAGAATCAATAGCATTGTATCGATATTATACCAGTAAATTGCATTTTCCCTTTTATCTGGAATATTTCAGCCAATTTAATACAACGATGCTGGTTAATTTTTTTTTTTTTTGTCTTTTTCACGACGAAGCATTAAATTCACAGCGCCCGAAAAATCGTTGTTTCGTTGTTCCCGAAAGAATTTTTATATTGGAGCAGTGTAATGAATTTTCGAGAGAAATTTTATCAAGCACCTCGTGTAATTCACTGTTGAAATTTTTTGCGTAATTGTGATTTTTAATTCTGAACAAGGTTGAAATATTAAACCTTGCCGCTTGGTGAAATGTTGGTTGTAAATGTTTGCTTTATAATTTTAGTTTCCATTGTTACGATAACGCGAAATTGGATTGCTTTTTTTAGGATTGTAATTAACCATAGAGATTAGTGAGAAAATTGAAATTTTTTTACAGGAAATATAAAATAATCGCTAACCGGTGTAAACGTCCACTGATAAAAATGCTTTTGATAACGAAAAATTGACTTTCATCTCGAAGGGAAAACGATCCGTTCGATATTAAATATTCAATAACCAGAAAGACGCGCGAAGCACTTTTTATCAGCTTATATAAAACGAGAAGTCTTCTCGAATAAGTTTCTCTCATAAAAATTCATATAAACGAGGAAATGTTTTTCTACGGTTGGCTTTAAAATCTCCCGGAAAGATCGTGCTTCTCGATAACGGTTTGTATACGTAGGAAGATTTTTGTTGGAAGGTAAATTCGAGGTAAGGACAAGTTGAAGATAAAAGCGAACTTTTCAAGTTTCGAAGGTAAACGAGAGTTTTAAAGGCGATTTAAGAACGGCACATGAAAGTTTATCGTAATAGTTACGTCAGGAAATTTCTCCTCGAATCGTCCTCAACTTTCAGCTCTGCTTAGAAAACATTCGCATCTTCCTTCCTTTCCATTTAGCCAACTGTTTGATGCGATCTGTTATAGATCATTGAACAAGTGTTCCTTAATTTTATTACCTTACTGTCGAACTTTCTATTCGATGGACGAGTCTCGTGAAAGTACTCGAGAAATCATTTCTTTCTATTTAAATTTCAACTTTTCAATCATCTTCCTCCCGATCCTCTTTTATCAAGGAACATATTCTTCGACCTTTTTCATGGAATTTCGTTCGATAGGGGTTGCTCTCAAAGAGGAGCATTCGTTTCGAAGAAATCGAGTCATTTGGTGAATACGATCTGCCTTTGAAAAATGAAAGAACGAATCCAGGAAACAGGATTCAAGGATATTCTACCGACTGTTCTCTTCGCGAAGAATAATTTAATCCTTGAACTTGTAGATACATACGTCAAGGTGGAGTTAAAGATAACTTCTTAAAATTTAATACAAATTATCAAAATTATAATCAATTTCTGTCGTAATCAATCATAGGTGAACACAGGCGTCAAAGAAGTGTACAATATACACAAAATGAACGCTGAACGTATTCTTTTTTCGAAACATAGATAAAGCTAATAATTCTAAGCTCAGCCAAAAACGATCTGTACGTGTTCCGTTTAAATTCTCGTTTCAGATTCCCTACGTCAGACTTGAAGTAGATCCAAAACGCGAAGTCGTAAATTCCACGGTCAGTTACCCCAAAAAATTCCATTGTAAATTCGAAAAGAAATATCCTCGCGCGGTTTCGTGCGAGCATCGTTCACCGATGGACGATAAATTCTGTGAAACCGTACAGTGAATCACCCTGTCAATTTTTGTGATTTGCATTTTTTTCAAATTTACATCAACTTTATTTCTCGTTCAATGTCGCCAGCTCGACAAAGGCATTTTTGTCTATACTCTATTTGAAATTTTTCTAACTCGACCCGTGGATAATTTATCCTCGACAAAAACATAAATTTTTATTTTATTTAATACCGTAACTCTAAACAACTGACGGTGAAGTAGTTCGCTGACGTTAAGGTGCTTCCAACGATCAATTTTCAAGCGAGTCGACGAGTTGGAAATTGCTTCACGATTCGATGACTTTAGGAGGCCGGGAATTCGAGGAATTCGAACGATCCCGCGAAACTATTCGCGAACTTCGTAGCTACGTTGAAATTTCCTGCGGTTCCGTGTTGTCGGGCTGTTATTTAAGAATTTTTCTTTTTGCCGAAAACCAGCCACGATAAATTTCTGACGCGTTTCAAGGGGAGAGATACTTTTCCCTCGTAGATAAACTCGAAAAGCTGCATCGATGCGGATGGATTTTAATTGAAAGGGTGTGCAACATTCGTAGCTCGTCGCCTCTCGTGTTTCTTCCAGTGAAACGAGCGGAAAATGGGAAAAATTTGAGCGGCGGGAAATTTCTGCTGGAATGGAAATAAAAAAGTTCTTTAACGAACTCGAAAAATAGCGTGCAGAGTTCTTTTTCTTTTGGGATTGAATAAAACAATTTTTAGTTACGGTTCGTTCGTATTTATTAATTAAAAAATACAAAATTAATATTTTCTTTTTTTCTGTTTTCAGTGGAGAAGGGGGTCTTAGACCAAAGCAGCGAGAACCAGCAGGTGATCGAGAGGTGTTACCCTCTTCCGCCTCAGAATACGTTGATGCTGTCGGAACTTCCGGAACCGCCGATCCCTCTAAGCGAGATCGGACCGATTCCACCCCCGCCGATGTTCAGTTCTACCAGTCCCACCCTCTTGTTAGCCAAGCAACGACAAATACGAAACCCTTTGTCGTCCGATTACGAGGACGAAGGTAGGTGTACTTAACTTTAATCATCATTGCCATATTCTCTAACATCAAATCCTTATTTTCTGTCGCAGAAGACGAGGAAGACTTCGACGTCGAGGAGGAGGACAACATGTACGTAGCCAGGATGTCGCAGCCGGACCCGAGTATCGACACGTCGAGGGTGGAGGAGATCCCGGCGAAGGAGCCAAAGTTCCACGCGGTGCCGTTGAAGAGCGTGCTGAAGAAAAGAAGTTCCGGAAGTGGGCCTGGGACACCGCAGAACACGCCGACGCAGGAGAACAGGCCGTTGACCCTTCGTCAGGAGCTCCATGCCTCCTTCAAGTTAGTGCCAAACACGATTCTCTGCCAACCAGGACCTTTTCAAAATACATACACTTTTTGTTTTCGAAAAAAAAAAAAAAAAAAAAGAAAGAAAGAAACTGAAACTTTTCAAATCATCCGGGGTTATCTAGATTCGAGAATGTCCAAGGGTCTTTCATGGATTAAGACAATCATTAAGATTCGTCACGAGAAATGGTCCTCTTCAAGGTTTCGAGCAATCAGGAAATAAGAGGGTTTTTTCTTTCTATTGTTCAAAGTGGCGCTTCGAAACACTCAGACGATTTTAATGGGTGATTATTAATGGTACGATTCGAATGATGACTCTTGCTCGAATTTAATTAGCGCGCTAGCTTTAATGGAAACATCTCGAGACCCTGAAGAGCACCGCCTCGTCTGGAACATCGTTCTTCACCTTCCGGCCTCTCGTCGTCTCTTTCACGCACACGTGCACCGTATTCTCGTATTATTTTCCTTTCTCTCTTTCTATTTATCTCTGTTTCTTCCGTCTATCGCAGCTTCCTTTCATCGGATCGTTTTACTCGCTCGAACTCGCGATCCCGTCCCTTTTCTATCCTCCCTTCGGCGACGGGTCACGTTGATCCGATCGATAAGGTGCAGGTTTAATTTCGCCGAGTGCAACAAGCGAGAGTAACCCAGCTCCCCTTAGCTTTGTACTTATTTCGTGGTGCGTCGTACGGATCCACCCTTGCGTGAAAGGGTTCAAATGGATGTAGAAGGGATCGAGAACGATGCTCCGGTGTGAGGTGAAAATCCCGTGTTAAATCTTCGCTCATTTTCATTCATCGAACATTTATCAGTCACTAGTAAAGTGTCGTATTTTTCTTATGCTTAACCAGAAGGCCACCGTTGAGGCCTAGGATGAGAATATGGTAATTGGACATTGGTCTAACTAAGCATGCGCGAATCAATATGGTATATACATATAAATATATATATTTGTATAAATATTTGTCTTACCCACGGCGGTTGATCGCAGAGAACTAACAATGTTCTAATTTTTTTCTATTTTTCTCTTTGTACATATTTACACATTTTCTCTCTTCTACATATACACTTCCCCTATAAAATTATAGAACGTCCACCAAAATCTTAAAAAAGAAAATTGATTACAATCATTGTCAAAAGGGTGAAATATTCTATGACTTTTAAGTGGAAGTATGTATAGATATCTTTTATTTCTATTTCATTTTATTTCCTTTTTATTATCGATCTTCACACTTTTTCTCTCTCTGTCTTCCTCTTTCTCACGTTTTCTCTCTTTCTCTGTGTGTCAGCATCACGAGCGCCGTGAGCATGGTAAACGTAAACGACCTTAAGCATGAGAAAACCCTAGGGAAACCCATGAAAACCGTCGCCCACGCTTCACACGTTCCATTATCCGCGTCCAACGCGAGAACCTCGAAACATCGATCGACGAGAACGAGGATCTCAGTATGAACCATTGACGAATCGAGTTCCAGAAAGCTTGATTCGTCTCGCTTCGATGGATCTTATAGAAACGTTTCGAATTTTCTCCTCTTGTGTTTCACGGCTTCTATGCTTTTAAAGTCGTTCAAAGGGACAACTTGTAGGGTATTCCTCTTAAGGTTTGCTGTATTTCAAGCTTTCACGGGCCTGACAGCTACTGGTTGACTTTTAATTAACCATTTTTTAATAATCTTCTTACATCCTTACAAAAATATCACGAATAATTTAGAATTTTTCAACTGGTAGCTTAAAGGTTTTTTTAAAATCGATTGTTTGAGCACAGTATTCTGTGGAATATCGTTTGTGAAGTTTGAAGAATTTATGCACGATTTGTATCGTAAAAGAATAATTCCAAAATTGATCCAATTGTACAGAACCCTCCATGTTCGATTCAGTAGTTCTATTGATATCCAGCCCTTCCAATATATTCCTCTCCTACAAATGGTAACAGAAACAAGTAGTGTCATGGAGAAAAGTTGTAAATTTTAAATGCATTCCAATTTGTAATCAATTTAAATTGTACACCTACGAAAGTAGAGACCGGACAAAAGAAACGTATATACTCTGTGTTTCAAACAATCGTGGACACGTTAAAAACCGAAGGGGGAACGGTTATCTTTGTCGTGGTGGTTGATAAAGCCGTTTCAGACTGTCCATTTCGCACAGTTGCCGCAAGTTGCTTCTGTTATCTTCATCAACGTGTCTCACACTCTCTGCATACACGTACACCCACACCTGTGTCGTTGCCGTTGTTTCATCCTTACTCCATATTTCGTATCTCGTGTTTGAAACGTGGTAGAGTAGAACATTGGTTCTGGACTAACGTCAACCAATATCGAAACTTTCCTCGACAGATCGTTCTAATGTTTCCCTGTTTTTTTGTGCCCTTTTCTTTCAGCAGTCGACCGGTCAGATTTGGCCTCGCCCTACCGTGCACCCTCGAGAACAAGGAAAACGCGAGGCCGTATGTGATAAGGGAAGATGCTGACGGAGATTCGGCCGATGGACAGGTACTCTACAGGGACGAGTACGACGATGAGAAAAGTGAGTAATAATTAAGTGATTATTATTAGAGGTGAAAAAAGGGATCGAACATTTTGATAAATTTAACACATTCGTTGCCATCTTCGTTAAAATTTTGTTTAGTAATGAAAAATTATCGAACCACCAAAAATAGTAATTAATTTGAAGAGCTAATTTATTATACATACAACGGTTTCGTTTAATTAAAGGTTTCAGAATGTATTCCATTTTATTGATAATTACAAACTCCATTTCGGATCGAATATCTCATTCGAATGATTTCGTGCGGGGAGAATTGTAATAACCCAAATGATACATAGCACGAAACTTACTGCACAGTGCTTCGAATTTTATAATAAATATTATATCAAGCGCGAAATGAGGCCGGAAATATATTATTCGGTTTCTGTGATGAATATTGAATTACGAACATTCAAAATGAATTTTTCCTCCGTTCGCGAACGGGAACGTGCATTAAAAATCGATATTTAATCTACGGGAAACCTGGCCAGATATCTTTTGTCTGAAAAGCGATGGTAATTGTTAATATTCTCGTTAGAAATTAATTAACGAATTATCTAGTCTAAAGTTCATCGCAATCCCCGACGTTCTATTATGAATTTTTAAACAGCCGCGAAATTCGCGATAGCTCTTTTCAACTTCGATATCATTAACTATGAAACACATGGAATATTTAATCCGGCAGAATCTTTCGAAAGGTCGTCGATGATGGACGAAAAATTGCATTTCATCTTAACGAGATTTTATAGTTAACGATCACTCGAAGGGATGTACTTTCTTTTTTAATACCTTAAACGCTTGATAGCGTTCAAAGTTACTTGGCAAGCTTAATGAGAAACAATGCTTCGCCCGTCGGACCTTTTATCGTTTTTCCTTTTTCCATTTTCTGTTTGCCTTCCATCGGCCAGCAAATTACACAAACGATACAGCTGGAACGGTCACCGTCTCTAATTGAAATTTCTCCTACGCCATTCTTTTTCAACGTAACGCGGATCACTTTGCGATTAATCTCTCGCAATTGCAGGACCCGTTAATGATTCTTGCAGTAATCAGTGACGTTTCTCGATGAATCTTTTTCCATTCAATTCGATCCATCTTTTATACATTCGAAACTTTTGTCGTGCGTTGTACAGTTTGCAATTTTAGTCAAAATAAAGTGGGTTGCAGATTGTAACATTTTAAGTAAAGTAATTTCTTCCAGGCTTGATCTTTGGATGATTTGATTTTATTACAAATTATTTTCTATGAAAAAAAATTTGATTCGTGAAAGATAGCGATAGCGCGATTGGCAAACATCTAAGAATCAGCGTTCGCGTACCGAACTAATTATACACCCGGCGCGATACGTTTATTCACATAGACATACGCGCGATCACGCGAACATCTAGAAGGTTATATTAATCCCCGAAGATAGCTGGCAAACGGTTCAGTATGTTTCTGGCCGTTGTTTTGCCTTAGTTTCCCGCCTCCATCGTTCGCGAATCGACGATATTAAAATAATCGTTCATTTCTACTTCTCGATTGATCTCTCCCAACCTTCGTTTCATTAATACAGAAAATAATTAACAGTCCTGTAATTCCCGTATGCGTGGATTACAGATAATCACCGCTCATGTTCGATAAATAGAGTTTAATTGAAATTGTGAGAAAAAATTGAATGAAATTCATGTGGTGGAGTAGTAAAGAAAGATCCAGTGAATTATTGAGAATTTCTTGAGAGTGATAACAGCGATGACAGCATGCTATCGATCTGGACTGCATCGACATTGTCGATCGCTTGTAGCTCGATCGAGCCCCTCAAACCGGAGCCATTTCTTCGTCGAAGTCTCAGCTGTTCTTCGATCGTTGGTGGTAAATCGCGATCGGGTCAGACTTTAAATAAATCGACACTATTATTGCGTGATTCGATCGTCGATATGGTTGGCGGCTTTGATACAGGTAGTGTTGATTAGGGGTGTGCCGATTTTTGTTGTTTATTCACGTGCGCGCTAAAGTGATAGATGATAATTATTCATTGAAGCAATTAAAATTTGAAGCACTCTTATCGTTGTAATAAAATTCAGTAGCCACGAGTGTGTTAACAATTAAACGGACGAAGCGTGCGACGGATGTTTAATTAACGGGACGAATTGTTTTTCTGATTGCAGGTCGGTTGGCGGCAAAGATCGCGCGCAAGGAGTCGTTGTCGTTGAAGCTCGCCCTTAGGCCAGACAGGCAGGAGCTCATCAACAGGAACATCCTTCAACTGCAGACGGACAATGAGAGGCAGGAAACGAAGGAGGCGATTGGTGCCAAGCTCATCAGGTAAAAAAGATTCTTCGTTCTTCTTTCAACATTCTCGCTGTGAAATCAAAGAAGTTGGAAAATTATTTTTAACCCTCCGACATTGTTTGCTTCTTCAACCTATATTTCTTCTTCTTTTTACCGCTGATATTATCTTACAGAATATTTAGTACACGCTATATTGAAATGGAAAAATTCGCGGAAAAACTGTAGGGGATGCGAAACTAAAATTAACTTGTAGTACATGAAACGAATATAATACGAGTGTGCTTCAACTAAAATTAGGTCTTCAAATTTCTTTAATGAAAGACTTTTATGTGATATATCTAAAGGAATAGGAGGTGAAAACGAGGAAGAATTAAAAATTTAATTTTAATTATCAATGTCTCGGTAAACCAACTCCCCCGAGAATTAATTAAATTCATAAGCAAATTTTTCAATTAATGAGTATAATAATTAATTTTGAAATCATTCAAAATTTCGATGGTTATTCGAAATTTCATCGATGGTGCGAAGTTTAAGTAATAGTCCTTGAAACAGAACTGTCCAGGTGAATGGAGAGGAAAAAGGAGAAGCTTTATTCAAGGATTATTAAAAGCTTCGATAAACCGTGGTGAAATAAATGAGAATAGAAAAAAAGCATGGCAGGTATTATTCGAAAGGAAGCTCATTGATCGGTTGCATTGAAACGGCCGGTGAATCCTCGCGTATCTCTCTCGTTGCCATGAATAGTGACGTCTTTTAGCATAGAAAAGCGAGCCTGAACCGTTCGTGATATCGAGTTTGCAGGCTGACGAATAGTTATACTCGCGTGAATTTAAACGCTCGCATTGACGTAGATACGGAAAACCGTAGGAGAGATCCTAAATTTAGGAATAAGACGAGGGAGGTGAATAAGAATTCCTCAAGGATTTGTTTCATCGAGGATGGAACCCCTCGGCGAAGCTGCTGTGAATTCTAAATATCTTTAAATATTCTTGAAAATTTATAAAAAAAACTCCAAAGTAGAAATATACTTGAATTTAATAAGAAATATTATTAATTTCGAAAAAGTAAATCATAACATTGTGTAATTGGTTGACAAAGTTTCTGTTCGCCAAAGAACGTAATAGTTGGAACAACAACAGTTATGTCTGAGACGATTACAGTGGATCACAGTTGACTATGGTTGAATTACTTGTTTACTTCCTTGGATTCTACATCCCTCCTTGACCGTTTGAACCGATCAACGATGGAGAAAATCGGATTAAGAGTATTCGATAATAGACTTGTACTGATTCGCATGGCATTTGTTTGTTTCAGGCGGCTGAGCATGCGGCCGACCCAGGAGGAGCTTGAAGAGCGAAACATTCTGAAAAGTAAGCTTTCTTTGCATATTTTTCTTCTCTGAATTATGCATCATATGTAATACAAGAATTCGGAGAAAATAGTAGATTATAGATTTGTAAGAAATGCTCCAGATAGTCGATTAATTAATTTTCCTTCGATGTTAATGGGTGTGTAATTAACTGTGGATGAGACACGTCGTGTAATTTACTTTCAGAACAAAGTCCAGCCGAGGAGAAGAAACAGAAAGAAGAAAAGAAACGATATCTGTTGCGAAAGCTAAGCTTTCGACCGACTGTCGAAGAGTTGAAAGAGAAGAAGGTACATCTTCGCTAATAAAGAATGGGTGATATTAATATTATCCGTTCAATGCTTTTATTTTCTTTGATAGATCATTAGGTTCAACGATTACATCGAAGTCACGCAGGCTCACGACTACGATAGACGAGCCGATAAGCCTTGGACGCGGTTGACCCCTAAGGATAAGGCAGCCATTAGGAAAGAATTGAACGAGTTTAAGAGTTCGGAGATGGCCGTTCATGAGGACAGCCGACACCTCACCAGGTACGTCTTCTTCTCGAATAACACCAGCTTTCTATACAAATTTAAAAGAAATTTTTCTATAAATAAATAAAGACAGAAGGTTTACCCATCTTTCCATCGAAACGAATGAAAATTCGAGGATATGAATAATTTTTCAACATACGGGTGTTTGGTCGGTTCCAGGTTCCATAGGCCATGACAATTGCAATGTGTTGAGGTGCTACAGTGTGGTGCGGGTATAGGTGAAGGTGCAGTGTGGTGGCCTCGTGTCGAGGCTGGATAAAGTATCTCGGATAATCGTGGCTTCCGAGGATATTTTCACGATTGGAGTCGTCGTCTCGACGACGTTGACGGTGGTTTCTTTTTATGACGTTGCTGCGTCGTGTTGTCATTCGTCGTCCTGATCATCATCATCATCACGTGTCCATCATCTTCGGTCACCGGCATTCCGCGTTGACGACGAACGTCCCCACGACGTCGACGAAGATTGTGATAGGGTGGCCTGCGACCTAAAAGAGATAAGGGATCGCATCGGCTCGCTCGATGATTTTCTCCGCGATTAAGGCTCGTTCACACTTGAGCTCGACCGAAAAATCATCTCCTCTCCTGTCGACGTCTTTAGAGAAAAGTATTTGCAAATGATAAACGGAGAACAGTTTGTTGATTTCAGAGAATCAAGAGAAACTGTACGATGAAGTACGGAGCCTAAGATCTAGGTCATTGTAAAATAAGATGTCTTTTTGTACGAACGTTGGCGAAGTTCGTTCTGGCACGATGCAAGATGAAGAAGCTGCGGCGTCTCTTGTTCCTCGGAGGTGACGTCTTTTATGAAAGTTTCCTAACTTCTGGACTATCCGAGACGCTGACGAAATAATAATTAGAGGAGGAGGCGATAAACGAGCATAGAATTTCGTGAATGAAATTTCTTGATTAGTATCACGTTACGCGAGCTCACGTGTGAACGGTTCTTTCTAGATATAAAAAAAAACACCGTGTTTCTCTTTGCCATCAAGCTAGCTCGTCAGTGTCACCTGGCATCACTCGCGTATACGTGAAACGAATTCCTAAAAGAATTTTCATTTATTCGTGTGATATATCCTTGTGAAATACTCAACTCGAATCACGGATACGGGAGGATACATTACATGAAATGAGTCGAGAAGAACAAAAGGGGGTAGGAAGGTAAATGCCGTCGAAACTGATTTAGCTTTGGATTTAGTTTCTTTTTTTTTTTGAAGATGCGTTAGTTGAAGATATTTTTATATGTTGTACATTAACGAGAAACGTTTCTTTCGCGAAATGTACAACCCGTTTTCTTTCACGATAACGAAGGAACAAAAAGTGATACAAATAATTCAAACTTCGCGACACATATGACGGCTACGGTGTTATTTATCGAACAATTTCATGAGTCGTGATTTTAATCGATTTTCCAATTAACCCTCGAATAAAGTCTTTGCCATTTTCGAAATTTTATACCCTTTCTTTAGGTATTATTTATACATATAGTCTCGTTTGCAAAATTAAGTGCCTAGTTTTAATTATTGTACTCTTTAATGGGTCTGAATGACTCTGCCATCATCATTCGAGGGTTAATAATCATAATCAGTCCAAGCCCCCGTGAGTGGCAATGAGTTCAAATGGATCATTTTATTTTTAGCCGACACGTTGAGACATTGAAATACTTGCGGTAAAATTAATACTTTCGTATGATTTCGTATATTTCCGACACTTCTCGTGTACGTAATTAGCCATACCATAAAATTGGCTATTCTTTAGATAATTCCATTTTGAATCTTGAGGTTTGATCAGTTTCATGTGACTTCGATTTCCGGTGAATAGACACAAGACTTTTGCCGTCCATAAAGTTGCCAAATTAGGATGATCTTTAATTTTCCCGATTCATTGGATCATTCTTTCTCCCCGATATGCTTTCAATAGTTTCAGACACTTGGTGAATTTCTTCTCAGGCATTTAGAGTTTTGCTTAAGTGAGAACGTTAAAATTTTATTAATCATTTTAATTTGTCACGATAATATTGTACAGTAGTTATCGAATTCATCCGTTCTCACTCTTCGCCTCTGTTACTGCTACCATTTTTCTCGCACACAGTTTCCTGGTTCGCATTTTTTATAATCGTGACAGACATTCGCAATTTCATGCATGCATAAAGACAAAGGTCGTCGACCTGTAGTATTTGTGAAAAATTTGATAGTTGTCGGTCTATGGTAATCATCTGACACAACTTTACCATTGATCGTTATTCAAGATAATCGGTGCTCCTCGATTTTCAGCTGATCATCATACCTTGTACAGTTGTACACATGCTTGAAATTTAACGACCCCACAGTTGTGTGGTTTATTTATTAACAGGTTGGTTATTACGAGGGTCATAAGTGATCTATGTCACCAATTCAATTTAACTGTGTAATTAATAAATTATAATGGCTGAAACAAAATTCTTAATATCGCTTAAAATAATTATAATTTAAAATAAAAATTTGAAATTGTGATTTAACAATGGGAAAAATAGAAAGGGAAAGCTTTGATTATTAATGCTACATTAAATTTTCTTTAATTATTCGATTATATGAAATTTGTGATTCCGATCACCATTGACCCCTCCATAATAATTAACGCGTTAAACTGTTCCATAATGCATAGAGCAGAGGCATCGTTCAATTCGTACGACTATTTATGACAATCTTGTTCGAATCGACAAGAAAAAAAGAAAAGAATAAATAAATAAAAGAAGAAACTATTTTTCCTTTACTGCCAGGTATCACTATTTCTCTATTGCGGAGCTGCCTTGAGGAGCAAACGCTTAACTGACTATCATATAAAAAAAAGAAAGGAAGACGAACGAAGGGAGACGGAAGTAAGATAAATGTGTACTCTGCGACGAATGAAAAAAAAAAATAAATAAAGGGAAAAAGAACGATGCATTGTGCAATTACACACACACACTTTGTACAGGAATAATATACATAGCGCGTACTTTAGTGACTATTATTATTATTATTATTATTGTTATTGTCATCGCTAGGCGACGCTGTGATCCTCGTTTCAATTTTCGATCACGCGTTTCGATCGTGGAGACAAAGAAAAAGATCGTCTACCGCTATCGTTCGTGCTAAACTGATCAAAGATTAGATCAAAGATTCGTCGTCGAATTGCACTCGATTGGATAAATCGTGGCTCTTTAATAAATAAAAAAAAAATAAAAAAAATAACGCTGTTTTAGCGTGCTTCGATGTATCTTGCACGCTTTTGAAAACCTCTTCGAAGCTTCCTGTTTCTACAATGCATGATCGTCAGTCGCTAAAGCTCGCGTAAACTTGTGAAAGTAAATCGAGAATACTTATGCGAGAAATGTATGATTCTCTGAGAAATATGACGGTACTAGGGAAGCAGGGACTCTGAATATCCTAATTTCGACGATATTAATATTAAAAGTGATTTAGAAAGGAAATAATATAATTTTCAATTATTATCGGACGACGAGAAATTACGCGAGTTCTTTCCTTGCGAGCGTGTAAGTCGCGACGACGGGTCGATTTTCCTTCTAAATAGTAACCTAGTTTTAACGATCGTCCAATGGGGTGAGAGGATCGTATGGTCGATCTTTCTCGTAAACCCGTCGGTGAACTCAGCTGTTCGATATTACAAACAAAAAGAAACACAGAAAAATGAAAAAAAGAAATTTTCGTCAACCTCGAGATCGTCGAAGGTGTCATGAAGACGATGGTGAAAAGACGAAGACCTTCTAGTGAACCACGGAGACGCACGTGATTAACACGTTGACTGCCTCGGTGAAAATATGATTAATTATTCAATTTTCAACCGTTAATTTTATCAAAGTCTTTAGAAATATAATACAAAGCCCATACCAGGGTCAACGTTGTTTCTCTGTCATTTTATTCCGCGTTTTAATTGTTTCGATTTATTAAATAATTAATAATGGTAATCCTTGATCCTCCGCGCCAGTCAACGTGATTAAGGAACAATGTAAAGTAGGGAGATGAAGCGTCTCTCTCGTTCCATTGGTCGAGCGCTGTGGCTACCGTGTAGTCGAACAAATATATCCATTAATTTCCGGTTTGTCTGATGTATGGTACCATGAGTATCAGTGTGTGTGAGTGTGTTTGATTAAATCGTGAGAGATCGAAGGGGGGCGAGAAGCTCAGCGATCGAAAGGACGAGGGTGAAAATGAGAAAAAGTTGAAAAGAATCTGAATTCTTGTCACCTTTTTCCCATTCTTCTTTTTTTTTTTTTTTTTTTATTCTCCTTTTTTCACTCTCAAGGACGGATACGTAGAGGCAAAAAAAATAAACGACTGTACACGATGATTGTAAATATAGAGGGTAGGGGTTGGATAAAAGAGAAAAACAGACAATTTGTTAGGCGTAATTGTAAAACACCGCAATAGTGATCCACGCTAAACACGCTAAAACGATTATTAACGCATGGCAGAACGAAAGGAAAAAAAAACAATTATAAATGATTTTAGGTAAAAAAAGCGACACACCGTATACATATATAAATAATATACATAGAGGCGTACAAACATTATGTGCGTTTTTCCAGCACATATAGTTGGTATTTTGTGTACAAACGAAAAAAAAAAATGATCGGTGAAGAAAAGGAGATTGCGTGAACGCGAGACAAGATTGAAAGAAAATTGTAGGTTTTCACCGCGCCCTATCCAGAATTATTCTTATTATTACTATGAATTATTATTGTTACTATTATTTTGATTTTTATTAGAGGCGCGATGAAATGAATTTGTCCATGAACGAGGATGTTCCTCGATCACGTTCGAGCAAATCGAAGATGCAAATTCTTCTCGTAAAAAAATCAATATTCTCTTTCTATCATCGAATTCCAAATTATATTCGTACGTCTTGCAATTTCGATTTGCTCTCTGTCCACGTGGTATTGTCGCGTGGACTACGATTGAACCTCGTTCCGCGAAATCGCGTATGAATCGTTGCACGAAACTGCGGCGAAAATGTTAATTGCCATTGTTAATTAACGCTTCGAAACCTCGTCAGACGTATTCCATTTAGCGCGAATGACTTGTGTGGGGTTTCAAGCATTCGGAAGAAAAAAATTTTATCTCTGCCAAATTTTTCAAGTAGAACATTCATATTTCGAGGATTTTTAGATCGAAATTAATCGTAGATTATGGGATAAGGTTCGGATTGAAATAGGGTCCGATTTTTCTGTAAAATTGTCGTAATTATAATTACGACGCGATTAACCCTATGGTGATTTCAATGCGTGGTAAAACACACCATCGGTAGATTTGTGAAAACACAGACTCGCAGATTTGTTTAAATTTGAACAATTTTAAGGCTAAAGTGAACAATTCTATAGATAAACATTGAAGTGCGTAAAATTTTAATTAATTATTCATTAATTCTATCCTAATACCTCGTCTACGAGTCTGTCCGTGTTTTGCAAAAATTATACACGAAATTTTAAGAAAGAAAATATATATCCATGCGTGATTCACAGAACGGGGAAAATCGAGCGCACATATTGTATCCACGTTAAAATCGGTGAAAGAGAACGCAATGAAAAACCATAATAATAATAAAGAAAGGGAGAGGAAAAGAAAACCACACAGTCAGGCTGTAAAAATATGAGAAAATATTGTCGCGATCGACCCACGGTCGATTCTACTTGTATCATAATCTCTTACGATAGCGCTACTATTAAAACAATAACGAAACAGTAACAACAAAATAAGGTAACTCGTAATTTAAGGGAGAGTGAAGAGAGAAGCGTGAGAGGGATGAGTGTGAATTAAATCGTATGCAAAGAGTATGTGCGATAATAGTGATTTCGATGTGTCACTGAAAGAGAATAGAGGCAAACTCGTTGCTAACGGAAACGGGCTTCGTTGTATCCGCTCGTTGGTCTCGCGATTCTCTGAAATCTCTGCTCAAACTTCTTCTATCTTTCTTGTCGATCGAACGTTTGCTTCTAATCACGAAATAGTCGAGAAGACGCGCGAGGCCAATCTCCGGCGACCAGCCCGAAGGATTTTTACCAAAACGACTCCGCGAGTCGCGGAGTGGAAGCAGTAAATAAACATTAGACGTAATTATTGGATTTCGTTCTGTTTTGTAAACGAAATCGACGACAGTGTATAGCCGTACGATGGAGGGAAACAAAACCCACGCGTTTGAGGCCGAATTTTCTATGTCCGTCGATCGAATGCGTCTGCGTTCAGCGGACGATCATGTTCAATTTTTTCCACTGACTTGCAGTTATATTCTTTTAAAACGCATGTATTCGGTAGAAAAAATTGGACAAGATCGTCCGTCGGACGCAGACGCATGCGATCGATGCACATAGGAATTTCGTCCTTTATTAGTCGATTCGCGAGGAAAGCTGAAACGACGAGCTTTGTAAACGCGAACGCGTTTCGCGAACGATCACTGTCTCGTATCGAAGCCACCTGCAAAACACGTGGACCCTGTTTTATTTCTTGTTGACGATAATTGTATATTTATAATCGTTTATAGAGCGAGTTACGCGGAAAAGGAGAATTTTTAATGGAATCTTATATCGCGATGATATTTTGTATTTTAATCGAGGATACCTTTGGAGAATCGTGTAGTACTCTCCGATGATACCTTCAGAATGTTTTGTTTCTTTTTTAAATAAATTTTGGATTTCTTCATTTTAATGTTAATTATTAAAATTATTTGATATTTGACAAACATCCTAAGGTATTATTGGAAATGTCTATGTAGAGTGTTCCATGTGTTGTTATAAAATTTCAAAACTTTTCGTGAACCATGTTTAAGTCTATAAATTTTGTATATCAGGATCTTTTCTTCTTCAGAAATATGGATGTTGTTCTTTGTTCTTTAAATGAACCTTAAGTATCACCCAGACTTTAGAAGAGATTTAAGCATAGTTGAAAATTTATCAGAACTTTTTGTAAAGATAACGAAGAGTGTTAAAGTTTGATGGCGACATTATGGATGAACGATGTGATCCTTCGAAATTCGAAGAAAGTTTATTTATAGTTGTATAATTTTTAAGAAGTATTCATTATAAAAATGTCTCTTTTATATCGGTGAAAAGTGGTCACCTTTTTAACGCTGTATTTTAATTGTTTTTCTTAAGATTTAAACAAAATCGAGCAGTGATCGTTTGCGAACGCGTTGTTCGGGACGTAAAATTTAAAGGAATGCGTTGTATTATATTATCGAGAAACCCTCTAGGTGTAAGAATAATAATGTATATATAATTATTATTACCATAAACTTCGATCGATTGCACCGCGGGGAACGAAATCTGTCTTCCCCCTATGAAACGAAAATGAAAAGGTGAGAAAATTGTAATGCACGAACACGTGAGAACGAAGACAAAGCAACAAATTCTCAAGGTATATATAAATATATATATTATATATTCGTGGATAAAAACGAACAAAGTAAAAAAAAAGGGAGGATGAGAAGCCAAAAAGAGGAAAATGGAAAAACAGTTCTCGCAATTGATTTCGAAAATGTAACAGGAAAACATTTAAAAAAAAAAGACGCTGCGTTATTCGATCCAGATTCGTTCTGTTCTTTTGTTGTTAGTTTGTACGCACTACGATTTATCGCAATTTATTGTATTATCGATGAAATACTGTAACAAAAATACTGTTAACTATTCTTAAAAAAATTAAAACTTTTGTAAACTGAGACCAACCACCGTTCTCCTGTGATTATTTCAAAAATATTTCTTTTTTAAGCCCAGTTTTCCAATCGAATCAATTTTCTTATTTTACAAAAAGAAAACACAGATTTCATGATTATATAGAAAAATCTTTATTCGTAACAGTATACATTGCAATTAAAAATAATAATATCTATTTTATTTCTTCCTTCTTTCAATTTAAAATTCGACTCCAGCGCCATCTATACAAAAACGGCTCAAACTCTTCAACAACTTACCGATAAACTTACAGGGGTCCCTAACACCCCAGGATCATATGTCGGTATACAGAGAGCGTCAGCGCACTTCGGGGTCTCTGAAACCCCGGATGCCATAATACCGGTATGCAAAGAGTGTCTCCGGGGTCCTTGACACCCCGGATTTTAGGTAGGTATATGGAGCGTGCGAATGGCGCTACGGGGTCCCTGAAACCCCCGCTGTCATAATACCGGTACACAAAAAGCGTCTCCGGGGTCCTTGACACCACAAGATGGATTTTAGGTAGGTATATAGAGCGTGCGAATGGCGCTACGGGGTCCCTGAAACCCCGGCTGTCTAATACCGGTAGATAAAGTGTCCCGGGGTTCCTTGACACCCCAAGATGATTTCAGGTCGGTATATAGAGAGTACCAATGACGCTCCGGGGTCTCTGGAACCCCGGATGCCATAATGCCGGTAGATAAAGTGTCTCCGGGGTCCTTGACACCCCAAGATGATTTCAGGTCGGTATATAGAGAGTACCAATGACGCTCCGGGGTCTCTGGAACCCCGGATGCCATAATGCCGGTAGATAAAGTGTGTATTCGGGGTCTCTGACACCCCAGATGATATCATGTCGGTATACAGAGAGCGCCACCGGCGCTTCGGGGTCCCTGAAACCCCTGATGCCATAATGGTGGTACGCAAAGACTGTCTTCGGGGTCTCTGACACCCCAAGATGATATCAGGTCGGTATACCCCCTGTGGCTCGGGGGAGTAGAATACGGCCACGGTATCCCCTGCCTGTCGTAAGAGGCGACTAAAAGGGGAACGTAAAGGAGATTCCAAGAAAACTATATTGCAAATAAGAGGGAGACACAAAAGTATAGGAAGGCAAAATAGACTAAAGTTAAAATTAAAATTTGGATGAAAGCGTTCGTTGGGCAAAGAGAAACGGGTAGAAAGTCCCTAAAGTACGCTACCCTCACGGGAAATCAAATCATGTCATGTCATGTCATGTCAGTATACAGAGAGCGCCATCGATGCTTCGGGGTCCCTGTAACCCCAGATGCCAAATAGCGGCATGCACAGTGTCTCCGGGGTCCCTGGCGTCCCGAATGCCATAATGTCGGTATCCAAAGAGTATCACACGTTGTTCATCTATGATTATCGTGTTAAAGCCGCAGCAATTACGTAGTTGCGGTGTTATACAGAAGTCGTCCTGAACGATAATGTCGCACCTACGAAAGTTAGGACAATTTGGTCATACAATCAAGCGATCATGTCATGTCGTGAAGTCAATACAAGAACTCAACCACCCTCCTGGTCCAGGTACATTTTGTATATATATAATGTAAAATATAATATACTCAATGAAGTCATAAGTAAAAATCATACGTAGGTTAAACGTATATTATATAAGATCGTTTTCAAGTTGTCTACAATTTTAGGTCCTCAGAAACTATGGAAGAACGTCTTCCTTTTCGTTGCTATGCCTTTAGTAATATTTTGTTCAGTTAACTGCTACTTAAAGAAAGACGAAGAAGAAAGCCATCGACCTGAGCCAATTGATTATCCACATTTGAAAATTATGAACAAAGTAAGGAACAAAAATAAGTTGAAAGTTAAAGCAGTGATTTAATCAATTCTGTTCTTAATACAGGCTTTTCCTTGGAGAGACGGTAAACGTTCATTATTTCATAATCCGCATCGTAATTATCTTCCTGGAGTTGGTTATGAAGAATAATTGCTTATACTAGGATTTTCAGTATAGAATTTATTAGTCTCTGGTATTCTATACATGCTTTGAACTTGTATTGCCCGTCTAGTGAGAAACTAAATAAATAAATAAATAAATAAAAGATAAAGAAAAGATAAGATACAGTATAAGATAAAGAAAAGTATAAATGTTAATTAATAAAAAGCAAAACCACCTACCTTGGTAATTACATTGTAAAAGGTAAACTCAAATTTAAGTAATACAAAACAATGTGCAGAGTTTATTTTATACATTTAACTATGGCGACTATGTTAAATTGTTTATATTTAAACACATTCATACAGAGTAATAATTTATAAAAAAATATCTTTTAACTTTTAACATAAAGCAGCAACAATAAATACTGTTTGACATAACAGAGTCACAATAAAAAAAACATACTTTAGAAGATAAAAATGTAGACTAAAGAGAATAGTCTTAACTATAATTATACTTTTTTTACAGGTACACAGTCTTGATAATGTTCTTCCCAATGTAAGGAATAACATTCATGGGAACAATACTTAGCTACATCACAAAATAAACATTGTATAATGCCAGGTTTACCACAAACTAAACATATTTTAATTTCTTTTTTTTCATCAATGTTTTCTTCTGAGTTACTCGTAAAAATATCACTATTTTCTTCGATTGTCTCGAATGCTTCTAGTGTTATGCTTCTAACATCTGCAATATATGATGTGCTACTTTCTTCTAATGAAGTATCATCTGTATCATTAAAATGTTCAGAATCATTTAAACTTTTCGGTGAGTGTACTGAAGTTTCACATGTATTGTCTTCTAACGATGATGTAGCAATATCATTAAGTTCTTCTTCTTTCTTTGGTTCTTCACACTCTTCAGGTTCTTCAATTATTAATCTCATTTCTTCATCCTCGCTTTCGCTAATTCCATTAGTGTCAATAACTGTTACTTCATCATTATTGGAAGAAATTTCTACAGTAACTAGATTTGTATTTGATTGCTTATGAAATACTTTCGAATTAGATATTATTGGCACTTCTTCCTGAACTGCACGAGGAACATCACGAATCGTTTCTGGCAAGTTATGTAAAATTTGCTCATTTGCATTGGTACTATCCATATCTATAGAACTTCCTGATTCTTTTTTCAACGTGTCCTTTTCATTTATATTATTGTCCAATGTTTTTTGAATTTCTAAAATTGACAAAACTGCGTTCTGATTTTGTTCTACTAAAGTTTCCTCATCTTTTTTATCACTCTGTATTTCTTCACCTTGTATCATTTCTTCTGATTCTTGTGTTTCACTCTGAGATTGCTTATCCGATAAGTTATCGGTTATTTCTTGTTTATTTTCAGATTGATTTTTGGATGTTACATCTTCTTGATGAGGCACGTTACATCCATTTGTATTTACTGTCTTAGATTGCTCTTCTGTATTTAACTCGATACCTTTGTTACGTTTTTCTTCATTTTCTTGTACAATAATTTGTACCGTTTTCGGAATATAATTTGCAGTATTTATAAGCGTGTTGTTCTCAGGCGTATTTAATTGCGATGTATTTGATGTAAGATCATTGATAGTTTTTTCTACAAAATATTTTAAAAGTGTTTGAAAATGAAGCAACAGGGATCGTTCTTTATTAATGATCTGCCATTTTTCCGGTGTAAACTGTTGCTGTAACCAGGCGGTACAACCGAAGTAAAAGTTGATCTGCTTCGTTAACATAATCTTTTGTATTCCAGAAAGATATTTTAGTATATGAAACTGTTTCTCTGTAGATTCTAATGAAACTTGTACGGTATTTTGTCTCTTCTTGGTAGACTGTGGTTGTTGGCCTGGTGGTACTTGTTTAGAAAGAAAATACTGTGGAACCCTTGTTTGTACATGTACAGGTATTTTCTGATATACTTGTTCATTTTTTTGAATATTTCTTGGCATGGGCTGAGGTATATTTGGTACAAATGTATTTTGTACAGTTTGAGCAGTATTATTTATCACTGGTATATTTTGAGGTACTTGTGGCATAACTTGTGATTGTATCCCTTGAGGTATGTTGTAATTATGTTGCCTGTGTACTGTGTTCTGGAACTGTTGACCCATACAAGGGACATTTTTCATATTTTTACCCTGTGTTTGATTCATGTTTTGCTGCGGGGGATAATTTGATGTATTTACAGGACAAAATGTATTCATTGGTGATAGATAACTGTATAGAATTGATGGATTTGCAGTTGGCCCTGGAGCTGGCTGATTGTATCTAATACCCGATGGATTTGTGTTAGCTATCATAGGTGAACATTGTTGCAAAGGAATACCCTGTGACAAATGAATATTGCTTACTGGATGTTGTCTAATAAAATAAGCATTTGGAAGGCCATTCTGTTGCATAAAGGGCCTTTGTACTGGCATTCTATAGTTCATTTGCTGAATACCGCAATTCGTAGCAGTGCTATTCATTGGTACATTGTTTTGAACAAAATTGTTTTGTTGTCCGACTACTTTTTCGTTCAAATTTTGCTGAACTGGTTTACAAGTACCATTAGTAGGAGATGGAGTAAAAGAAGCAAATACACGTTGCCCAGATGTAACACTTTGCGATCCTTGAGAGTTGTTAGGCAGGTTCTGTTTCGTTATTGTATGTGAAACAATTCTAGGAGCGATATTTTGGTATCTATTAGAATTATTTTGTTCATCTGGCTTATGAAGATACAAGCGTGTAAATGGTGGTACATAATGCAACAATTCGGGTAATGATAATGGTTGATGTTTCAGCAGTCGTTTGTTAAGTACGTTTATCACTGCTGATATCAAACTAATACAATC